CAGACAGACAGACAGATAGATAGATAGATAGATAGATAGATAGATAGATAGATAGATAGATAGATAGATAGATAGATAGATAGATAATGTATTCAAAAATTTGAATGAATAAGAACCAGAAGTACCATTACTTCTCTACAGGGTGATGAAAAATAATTGGTGAACAGTCTTTGGGTTTGACCTATCACCTAGGTACAAAACTACTCATCAGTAGCATCATCTAGCCCCCATTTTACACCTTTGTCATAAGATTATCATGGGTCAACCTTGTCAAAAGCCTTGGTGAAATCAAGGTGTATTATATCCACATCATTACTTCTGGTCTACCAAGCTTTTACAGATAGTATGTGTAAGACCTTGACAGCGCTTTCATTGGGGTTTGAACCAGCCATATTGGTTGGAGGATTCTGGGGCCATCATCCAAAATAATAATAATAATAATAATAATAATCATAATCATCATCATCATCATCATCATCATCATCATCATCATCATCATCATCATCATCATCATCAACAACTCCGATTTCAATACCTCCACTGCCTTGTGGCTATATCCACTGATGGAAAAGGCTTCAGGAGTTAACCTCAAGGCAAAATCTGGAGCTGGAGTCCCGGAGGCAGTTTGTGTCATTCTGTTAGCTCCTGCGACGTCGCTGAAACCAGTTGTATTGGCTCTTGCCTTTCCATTGGACTATTTCAGCGACGTGGAGAGGGGGGATCTGCTGCTTGGGTAACAGCCTATCCTCCATATTATTTTACCCAGCCTTCATGCCATGGAGAGGACACTCCAGCTTTGTGTACAGTGTCAAAACACTAAACGCTGTTCCAAGTCCTCCCTACAGAGCACATTACCATAGTCTCTCGAGACTGAAGGATGCCTATGAAGGAATCAGAAACCATCACAAACCACTGGTTTTCCAGTCTGTGCCCATCTCTAGTTGCTTCCTCTAACTCTTTAATGATTACCTCTTTGCTTACATGGTGTGCAATTTCTTTGAATTGCTACATAGGCAAGAATGAAAGTTAAATATCCATTTCTGCTTCTGGTATACAAGCACTGATCTGCATCACCTTGCTTGAAGCCTTGTTGCAGTAACGTTTTCTTCAGTTTCTTTGTTCAAAGCCCGAACATCTTGCTTTAGTGCATACAGGACTTTCTTTAATTTGCCTACAAAGCAGGATACCTCTGGTTGATGAAACTAGCATTGTCAATAGTTGTGGATTCTGAAAGCTCTAGTCCAATATTTGGTGATTCTTGTTTGAGAACTATTGGTTTACAGTGACTGGCAGTGACTCTGCAGGGTTTTGGACTGGAGCCTCTCCGAGGCCTACCCAAAGATACCAGAAATTGAGACTAGGGCCTGCCATGTAAAACATCTGTTCTAACTTTGCTCCGTGGTCCTTCCAGGCAGAGCTGGCCCTTCAGCAGTTTCTGATTAAACCAGTTCCCTCCCCACTCCCTTCTCTGATAAGTAGGGCTCTGAAGAGAGGGAGCAGCTTTGGCAGGCTGGATTTGGCTTGCAAGGTAAACGTTTCCCACAAGTACTCCAAACAACCTGTGGCTTAAGCTTCCTGACCCACTTTGGCTCAGGCAAGTCCCACTTTGTGACCCAGGACATTCCATTTCTTCCTCTTAGGCCCCCACCATGCTTTGCTGTGGGAAGAGTTTGACAGGATGGAAGGAACTTGCATTGCTTGTGTGATTTGGAGACATCATTTGACCTTGATTTCATACGTTCACTAGAATGGGAGTAAGACTGTGCAGACTGATGAGTGACATAGCTGGGGAATCATAGGCAGAAAGGACTGACCAGGACAGACTCATTACTTACCTACAGTTACATTCTCTTTGATCCCACGATTCATTGTCTGCCTTCTTGTCCTGCCAGCCAGGTGTATCGTACATAGACCAGAATTTCTAGCTAGCACTTCATGCATCTGGTGAAGTTGTATATGGCCCATCAAAGCCAATGCTATAGTAAACTGGTGGGACATAAAAGTGCCACAGGGCAATTTGTTGTATTTCCAGCAACAAGATTAACACAGCCACCCCTCTGACTATTTTCCCATAGAATTTCTCAAGGGCACAGCTGGGTATAAAAGAGGGCATCTCACTGAGAGAGCAGCAGACAAAATATAATGGAGGCTGCAGTGCCCCTGCGTGAAGGTCACCCAGTAGGCAAGCCACAGCCACCTGCATGACTCCTTTCATTGGCCTGCTTTATTTTCCCAGCACGTCTGAGCCACGTTCCCAAAATATTACTGAGCGGCACTAATTGCTCAGCTTTCAGATTTGGGAGTTTTTCTAATAAGCTTTCTGCCTAGAACAAGTACAAAATTGCTGCTACCAGCAGAAAGTGATCTTTGACTTGCGGCTCCAGCCAGCTCCCCTCTTGCTGCCCGACTGTGGCTGAAAATCATACTTCATGCATTGACTTAATGTCTCCCTGAAAGCTGCCAGAAACCTTAGCCTTGTGATGCAACTGTTCACATGGAGGTTATTTTGGGGCAAGAGACAGACATTGTTTATAAAGATGCAGAGCAGCAGGAGCAGCAGGAGGAAGAGAAGCAACAGCAAGACAATCACAGCTCCTGTGAAACCATATCCTGCCACAACTCCTGTCTGATTACACACAGCAGCGTAAATGGAATGGCCAGAGGTGGTCACTTGTGCAACAGTCTTTGTCTTAGTTATTAGCTGAAGGGCCTGTTCAAACTGGCCAGTTTGGGTATGAGGTGAGTCAGGCTACAACAGGTCTGTTGAGGTCAGGGAGAGAAGCCATGTGCCATTTGGCATACTCCTCCTGTCTGAACAGCAAACTACCACTTGTAGCCCAATCAACTGTCAATTAAGTGCCCTGATTGTCTGTGGAGGGTCAGGGGAAGTGAAATTATTTTTTACCTCTCTCCCTCTGTTGGTGCCATTCTATTTTCTCTCTCCCCCCCCCACAATTCCCTTTCCTTATTCTCCCCCTACTTTTTCTCTCCTTCCTTGGAATTTGTAGCCATGGTGATAGAGGCTGCTGGAAGCTTTTTATCTCCAGGCTAGACAATGAGCCTGCCAAAAAGAATGCATGCCTTACCACTGAGCCAGAAGGATGTGTGGCGACTCTTAAAGGGGGAGGATGGATCATTCTAAGAAGTAAGTAGAACCACTTGTGGATGAGGTCTCTTTTTCTGATCCAAAACATTAATCCATCTACATATATGCCAGTGTGGACAGGTGCTGGTTTGCCTGTCATAGTTGTATTCTCAAAAAGGGATGTGGCTTTTTGATGCATTGCTGATAGAAAACATGGTGCCAATAAGAAAGTGGGATTTGTCATCCAATGGCATAGAGGAATCCTGAAAACATAATAAAAAGAAACACTGAGAAAAAGGATCTGCCCTGTTCCCTTGCACCCCCACCCCACCTTTCTTCAGACAAGCAGCATGCAGTCAGTATGAATGATATTTGCCCTGTCAGGTGTGGCAAAATGCTCAGTCATTAGCAAAAGGCCTTAAGGAGCATGCTAGTTGAAGAATCTGAGCTAGAAACTTATAGCCGATGAATTTACTGAAGAAGCCCTAAACTGTTCACAGATCAAGTGAGGTTGCTCACCTCAAAACTGGGAAGGCAGCTCTGCTCCACTCTTGAGCCACCTGTGCTTTCAAGACACCACAACGTCTTAGTCCTTCAACAGTAACATGTCATAATGAGGCTAGTCTACAATGCAGGGTGGTTGTACTGAACATTGATCAGTTCACTGTTAAGTAAAAAAAAACTTTGACAGCATAAGGAAAATTCTTCTATCAGGGGATGTTCCTAAAAGGAACTCCCTTCAGTTTAAAGGGTAAATGTCGGCAAAGCAATGGAAAAACTGCAGCTCCTGATTTCAACGCCAGTGGACATGAACTCTAAAATTGGAAAGGGGCTGGGAGGGGTGTCGTGTAGCATTTGCAGGTCTTGGAAACCCCTCCCCACCAGAGCAACTCATAGAGGAGGTCTCTTTCTGCACAGCTGTGCTCTGCAGCGAGTGAGGAGTTTTTACACATGTGTTAAGATGAGGCCTTCTGCACACATTTTTGTGTGAATATGCCAGAGATGCTGAGTGTGGCACTAATTTTGGCTGCATATAGTAACAGCTATGCAGGATAGCTGAATGCCCATTTCATGTGAGTCTAAGGCTGTGCTAGACGCCCAAAGATGAGGTAGGTTTCCTGTTTTCCAGTGCATATCTTGTCTGCCCCCATGCAAGGGAGCCAACAGCTTTTATCCAGCTGGCTCCTTCTCTAGCAGTGGCAGCAGTGGTGGGGGCAGCAGGGGCATCATGTCAGAAAAGAAGGCATAATTCTCACTCAGAACCAAAGGGCACCTTGCACTCAGTAGGTTATTTCACAAGACTAGCTTATTAAATTAAAATAGCAGCCAGGGGATAGGAATCAGACTAGGGGCAGCGCCTAAGAGTGGAACTGACCCTAGATGGCTGCCGCTGCTCTCTGCACCCGTTTTTCTCCTGTTGGAAACAATGGCTTTATGCCTCCACTTGCTTGCTCTTTGTGTTTGTTTCTTTTTGTTTTATGTTAAATGCAGCAAGAGACATAGCAGCACATGCGGTTTCGCTCTTCATTTGGCTAGACCCATTTTGTACCACTTTCCTCCAGCACCACAAAGCTCAGGGAAAGAGAGAGAGAAAGAAAGAGTGGGAAGATGGGGATGGGGGTGGGAAGAGGAGAGCTTTAAATTAGGTAAGCTGCGAAGGACAAACAAGATGCCTGAGGTTGCTATTGCCTGAGGTGAGAAATTGCTGAGAAATGTGGCTGTTGGCTTCCTCCAAGGTATTCTCTTCAGATTAAGAGTTGATGGTATTGGTGTGATAAATGGGAGTCAAGCCATGATAGTTTCCGAGAGGATGCTTAGGATTTCCCTCCCCAGAGTTCTGAACAACAGCAGAAAGCTGAGGCCTTGGAACAAACATTATGAATTGATTCATGGCTGCCCCCAAATTGTTTTACTGCCCGAGAGAGAGCAGCCAATCCCCCCACTTTCACTCAGGTCATGAGAGGACCAGCATGGTCCCCAGCCATTTAAGCCATTTTGCCTGCAGAGACAAAAAATCCCACAAATGCCCATCACCCATCCCAGTGCTGAAAATAAACTGAAACATCACCCATCTGCTGCCCTTTCAGGATCCTGCTTGAGGCACCTGCCACATTCCTGTGTCAAATGGCGGAGCTAACCCTGGCGGATAATCTGGCAACATTGCTACAGAGTGGTAGCGAAGTAGTCATTGTCAAAGTGCAGTTGCTCATCATGAGGTTCCCATCAGCCAGTGCTCTGCTATGAGGAGAGTCTAAAAATATGGGCAGCTGGATTGGTCCATTTCAACAAACGGGGGCATAGGTCTTTTGTAAAGTTAATGTATCTTAGTTGGCCAAGCCAACCTCATATACTTTGCATCCACATCAAAGGCCGCCTGCAACAATATATTGTTCCTGGGATGATCTATTTCACTTCTAGCTATTGTGATGAGTGCAGCTAAGCTCAAAGAGGAGAAGGAAGCCTGGCAGAGGTAAAAGAATATATCATAGTCCCTGCCACTCAGAAAGTCCTAGGGTGCTGAGCCTATGAGTACCACCTCCACTACATCACTGCTGCAGAATGAAAACATCTTTGAAGGATCAGAGACAGTTCCCCAGCTTCCCCACTGCAGTGTAGTACCACTGCAGGACTGGGACTTGCTTTGGTCCACCCCATCTCTCACCCATACCTGGTAATTGGAAGGATGCAATTACTGTAGGATATGCACATCTTTCTCTCAGTTTACTTTTGACTGGTGGCATTGGTCATTCTAATAGGCAGATATTCCCGTCTCCTCCAAACTGAAATGCTTTCTTTGGCACATTTTCTAGAAGGGAAGACACATTGGTCTGTGGCAGCAAACATAGCCTGTCTTGTAGTATCTCAAAAAGTACTCTGTCTTAAGCTTTCATGGATCACAGTCTACTTCAGAGATATCTGATCAAGCAGACAGTAGTCCGTGAAAGCTTATGCCACAAAAAATGTATTCGTCTTTAAGGTACCAGACTTGTCATTATTCTTCCTTCCATTTAACTTGTTTCATAGTCAGCATGACAAATCCTGCTTGTGGAAGAAATGACACATACAATATGCCCTATTTGTGTATTAATCATGTACGTGTGGTTTGCTCCTAACTCTTCCGCAAGGAAAAATTCGGCGTATGTTAAATAAATAAGGTCTCTCATCCCACATGTCTCAGGTGAACAATGGTCTCAGAACTATTTAGTTTGAACAGCAGATCAGTGCAGTTTTGAACAGCTCAACTTTCTCTTCCTCCCTCTCTGTATGTGTGTGTACATCTGCAGGTATGTGTGTATATATATGAAGAGACTGCATATGCTGGTGACTCCAATAGTGTGGGTGCAGTGAGTCCATTCCAGGTTTTATCCCAAACCTAACTGAGCTATGCAGGGTGCTTGAACTTCTTTTGAAGACACGGGATCACCTTAGAAGCCTAATATAAACTTCAGATTAAAAACCAGAGCGGATTCACTGCCCTTGCAAAATTGAAGTCACCAGCCTCTATCCTTATCAGGTTATTCCAGAACAGCAGTACTACCCTGTTACCATTTTGATTTTTTTCTAGCAGAGTGAAAGACAATGCACAGAATAAATACACAACACAGTACATGGACACTCAAATTCAAACACATCCACATAAAGGAAACTTTAACTTATCTGTCTGTCTGTCTGTCTCTCTCTCTCTCTGTGGGGGGGGGCATGTGCAAGACCCTGTGCAGCAGAGGGATTGCTTAATTCCATTCTCTTCCAAGACTTTTCAGAATTTTCTTCCTCTCCACAGCTCAAGACACAGCGGCCTCTTCAAGCTTTCAACAATTCCTGACAAGAGAAGACATGATAAAATGAAACAGCAATGCGTGCACCCTTCCCCTCTGAGAAGGCAGATTTTCAAAGGG